ACCTACTCATCTGTTCCTCTGAGAATTGGGATAAAATAGCCCTGAAAGATTGTTCAAATCTAGGAGTTTAGAAGGACAAGACTAATCACCAACCATATGGATTACATGAGATACAATGCAAGCTAGAACAAGCTCAAGGAAGCAAGCATACTTAGACTACAAAGTACATGTCGCAACGTCACAACTTTTGTTTCAATCTGGGTTCTCATTCGAAACCTACTTGGACCCTTCATAGCCTAGTCTAGTTCCCTTCCCTTCCCCCATGTTTTAGTAAACCTGAAAACCATCCCGATCGACAACGATAACCTTTATACAAAAAATACTCTCAATTGGAGAAATTCCTTAGTGTTACAAAGTCGGATTTCTCTCTAATTAAATATCTAAGTTCGAAGTGTTTCCTCTTACTACTATAAATCAAGTATCATGAATCTAAAGCACTTTTATCCACAAACCCTAATTAGTAAATATAAAATAGACACTCAATTTCTTTAAAAAAGGCTGATTTTTTTTAATGCTTTATCACAGAATATTATTCATACTAAATTTCATTATTAGTAAAAAAAAAAAAAAAAATTCAAAAGTTTCTGCAAATTCGTTGCAACATTGCTTACGATGATAAAGCTTTAGTCAAGTAAATTTGAAATTCATAATTGGGAGAAGAATTATAGGGCAAAAAAGTTTAATTAAGTTATGAAATAGTAAGTTTGTATGTGACCAAATTCGAATTTAGTGAACTAATTTTATTTATGGGGCTTTTAGATCCAGGTCCAAAAACATAGATGGTTTTTAGGAGTGAGTCCAATTACCTAATTATATGTATTTATTTTTTTAATGATCATTATATTTTCTAAAAATATTAAAAATCAATTAAAATTTTCTAATATTATGCATTTTCAACCCCAAAAAATATAATTAATATCATATAACAAAAATATATATATTGACATAAATCTATCTGGAAATCATTCTACTCTAACTTAAGTAACAAATATATGAATGTATATCATACATATAAGTAAGATATGAAACCTAACTAAAAGGTAGAAAAAAACATAATATATCTACAAGCAAGACACATGAATCTTATTTAATTATAAAAAAGAATCTGTCATACAGGTAGATAAATATAATTAACATGTGATATAGGTTGATTATAAAAATAAAAATAAAATCTATAAATGGGGTTTAAAACGGGATAAAGAACAAGAAAGAACAAAAATAAATAAAAAATCAAAGAGATAATTAGGAAGAAATTTGATTTTTATAATAAATCTTATCATTGAAGAGATAATTATTGATAATAAAATAATAAGATTTAAAGAATTAGACTTATTTTAATAAATTAAACTATTCCTACTATTGACCCAAAAAATTAGACTTATATCAAGTTTCCCCTTTATTTTTTGTTTAAAAAGATGAAGTTGTGGGGTTGAAGGGATGAATGCAACGTCGCAACGATTTCGTAGCTACCTTTGAAAATATTATTCCGATTTATGATGTATTTAGTATAAATATTCTAAGATAAAACATTAGAAAATAAATAAAATATAACGAGAACGAGGCAGAAGCTTAATGGAAAACGAGAGAGAAGCTGACTAACGACCAATCATGTAGAGAAATTTTTAATTGTGACGGGAATACGGGTGGTATAACACGTGTTTTTATGTAAGTAGTGGAAAATTATATTTTTTAAGTTATTAACTTTTTTGACATACATATCCCACTATTTATGTAATAACACGTGCTGTACCATCCGTGTGATGGTCACACTGAAAAATCTCTCCAATTATGTGCTGTCACATGGATCTTTCTTAATTAAAAGAAAAATTACTTTCTCCTCGCCCTTTCTCGCAGTCGCAGACGCAGTGACAAACCACCACCACCTCCGTCAAAACAACCACCACTACCGTCAAACACAGACCACACCACCAATGAAATTACCAGTCGAACCCAATTGAAACAAACCATCACCGTCAAGTGTCAAATCCAATAGAACCAAACCGTTGTCCACTGCTCGATCTGTGTGTCTTCGTCTCTTCATCTTCATCGTCTGCATCTGCATCGCCTTCACTCCCTGTTTCTTCAAAATCCTTTCCGCTCACATCCAGGTACCCAAGCGAGAAAATTGGAATGTCATGGCAAGGAGAAAAAGATGGTGTTGGTGGGGATGAAGCCTTGAACGAGTAAACTACTGGGGAAGTTGGAGATGTTGCTGTTGGTGTTGTGAACTTGTTTGGCCATTTTTTTTCCTTTCGTACTACAGAACCTAACACATTCAACATTTTCTTTTAATTTGGAATGGAAATTTCGACATATATCATATCTATCTTGATGTTATGTTTGGACGAGGGAATTTTTAAGTACCCTAGAAGTAAGCAAAGATTTTTCAAGTAACTCCTTTCAAATAGTCATATACAAATCCTTTTAGTGCATTGCCTGTAGCCATTTTTTTACTAATATAGCCTAAATCCCTTAAACTCGGTAATCCCTCGCCTAAATAGAACTTTAATGCTATCATGAAGCATGATGTCATCGGAGTAAGATGTTTGACAAAATATTTCAAAGAGGTTAAGACTTGGTCGCCAAAGACAACTAGGTAAAGTGACGTGTGGGCTTCATCTTGCGTTCGAGTTCTTAAATCATACTTACATTGTTGTTTGCAAGAAAAATTCCTCCCCAGTGTGTATCGAAATGTTTGTTCAAACATGTTGGAGATGGAGTTGAACTTTGATGACTTTAGGAGGGTCATTATGCAGTCAAATGATCCATATAATTATTCTTGTGGCTAAAAGTAACCAGCTAGCAAGGAAGATTCCGCCGCTGATGATGATTATGATGATGGACCATTGGTGCATAAACCAGCATCATCATCAAAATGTGTAGAGGCATGGAAGCAATCACCTTACACGAGCTCAGAGATCAAGTCACCATCTGGGGAGGATCAATCGAGTGTTTTATCTTCTTTGTTTTTCTTCTTTCTAAAAATTCAATCATAATATATAGCAATAGATTTTTGTCTTCTTTATGGTCCCATTTGGCGACATTGTCCATTATTGTGTTGTGGTCTCTTTAAACCAAAGCATTCTTATGAAATTATCTCAAGGGTTCATTCCACTTAAGCCATCTACTTTGTGTATATATTTATATATCTATAGATCGGCCTAGAGTCCTTGATTTCAGGTGAAAAAAGATTCAAACATGTGAACAAAGAGAGGGAGAAGGCGGAAGGAGAGGGGGAAAGAGAGGGTTTATGACAGACTTGATGATGGGGGTAAAGTGAGTCACAACGCGTTAGTAGAGAGGGTAAAGTGAGTCAGTATGACTTTAAAGGGCAATTTGAGGTTGGGTAGTACTATTTACACATTTTTTTTTTACCTCCTACACACACTTATTAATTTTTGTTTATTGATCTTCTTCAATTCATTTGATTTGATGGCTAGAAATTGAGAAGAGTGTAAAAGTAAAAATGAGTGTATAGATAGCTCCACACTTTGAGGTTTTAACATTGTTTCGAAGCCACTAATATAATTAAGCCTACATAGAGAAGTCATTCATACTTACAAGTCATAATTTGATGCAAAAACAAGACTAATTTCAGAGCCACATATCAAACTCGACTTATTTACCTAGAGTTCTTTTTTCCTTATGATTTCCAAAACACTCTTATTTAATAAACTCAAACTTAGATACTACAATATGACACCAACTGACCTAACATTGAACAGTAATAAGCTTCCCAAACCTGGCCTTTATTGCATTCATAATTATGCTTCCTAGGGAGAACTATACAGTATAACTCATTGACCATATAAAAATAGAGAAAGATTCAAAAGAGGTCCACAAAAAGAGAGGGAGAGAGGAGGGTGACATAGATTAAAGCGATGAATCCCAACATCTCCAATATCAATCTATATGCTTTTTCTTTTTTCACGTTCTGGTCTAAAGCAAAAGGGGAAGGAGGAAGGAGGGAGGGCTCCTCCTCCTCTTCTGGAATAATATACTACAGTACTACTACTGGCTATTCCAAGCAAAATACCAAAGGGAGGAAGATGGTCGAAAACAACCCAATTAATGTGTCCACTTTAAAAGCAGGAAATCATGGAGTTTTATCTGCTTCTTCTCCCAACTTGATCATATCTTTCTTTAGCTCTTAGTTAATCATCATTTGTTCAACCCAAAAAGACCCCCTCATTAATCCTCTTGGCAGACATATCTAAGTACAAATGTTGATGTAATGCAACAACATTCACACGAAGTTAAGATATCTGATTAGAGTGATGAGTTTGTAGCTGAAACGATTAAAAGTATTTATCCATACGCCGAAGATCCTGTGTTTGATTTCTTTTATTGATATTGCTTGTATCAAAAAAGGTATCCGACGACCAAAGAACAAAGTGAGACCTTGAAGAAAAGTCAGGTTTATTGTTTCAATCACAGTAACACGATTAAGTGATCGTTTGATAATCACACCGATTTAGAGCTAGAGGGAAATACATGGGGAAAATGAGGAATGGAAAAGGATGAAGGGAGGTAGCAGGTGGAGGAACGAAGAAGAAATGAAGTAGATTATATGAAAACAAAATCTTGAAACTAAAAAAAAAAAAAAAGCTTAATTAAAACTGTTTTTAGTTTGTAGTTTTCATTCCGTCCTTCAGTCTCTTCACATTTTTCAACCAAAACCAAAATTATATTACAATGCAATGGTTGAATTATGGTTCAAAATCAAACATACATTAATAGGAATTAATGCATATCAAGTCCCCAATCAATTTGGTTGATGAAATGATTTCCTCCTTGTGATTGTCACTTTAAAATTCTTATTTGGGTTAAATAATAAGCAAAGCAAAGGTCAAATATGTCAGTCGGCCTTGAAAGGTAAAGCAAATTTTAAATATTGGTTGATCAAACGGTCTGTTGTTGTTATGAATCTCTTTAAATGCAAAAAAATGCATGAAGCTGCTTTTGCTTTTCCTTTCTATAAAGTTGAAAGGTGCAACCAAAAATATGCTGTGCTACAAAGACCTCAAAATTTCCAACCCAAAGCTGAAAGCTCCCTCCATACTAATAGCATCCCCAGGTCCTCTCTCTCTCTCTCTCTAAAAAAATCAGACCACTTATGAATTAAATGGTTGCTGTTTTTCTCTAAACCAGAAGCCCTCCAATGACGAATTCCGGAATGAAGTCTTTTTTACTCTGCTCTCTCTTTGTGTTCCTAACATGTTTTTCTTCTGCTTCTTCACATAATCTGTCTCTCAGGAGGCAAGCTTCGATCCTTGTTTCTCTCAAACAAAATTTCGAAGACTCGAAAAATCCTTCTTTAAGTACTTGGAATGTGTCAAACTACATGTTCCTCTGCTCTTGGGCTGGAATCCGTTGTGACGGCCTAAACAGATCAGTTGTCTCACTTGACATATCCAACTACAACCTCTCAGGTACTCTTTCGCCAGCGATCACAGAACTCCGAACCCTAGTCAATGTTTCAGTGTCAGGAAATGGATTTGCAGGTACTTTTCCTTCCAGTGTTCACAAGCTAGCCAGGCTACAAAACCTCAACATATCCAACAATGGGTTCAGCGGAAGCTTGGACTGGGAGTTTTCTCAGTTGAAGCAGCTTGTATCGCTAGATGCTTACAACAATGATTTCAATGGCTCACTGCCATTAGGGGTCACTCAACTTCCGAACCTGAAGCGGTTGGACTTTGGCGGGAACTACTTCAGTGGAAGCATTCCTCCAAGCTATGGAAACATGGTGCGGCTCAATTATCTCTCAGTTGCGGGAAATGACCTGAGCGGTTACATACCGCGCGAGCTCGGAAACCTCACTAACCTACAGCAGCTTTTGTTGGGATATTACAACGAATTTGAAGGTGGAATCCCACCAGAAATTGGCAAGCTGATCAATCTGTTTCATTTAGACCTCGCAAACTGTGGTTTGGAGGGGCCAATCCCTCTGGAGCTAGGGAATCTGAAAAAGCTAGACACTTTGTTCTTGCAAACAAATCAGCTCAGCGGTTCGATTCCTGCTCAGCTGGGAAACTTGAGTAGCTTGAGGTCTCTTGATCTGTCAAACAATGCGCTAACAGGAGACATACCCGCTGAGTTCTCTGGACTCCGCGAGCTCACACTCCTGAACCTCTTTATCAACAAGTTTCACGGGGAGATTCCTCACTCTATCACGGAGCTACCAAACTTGGAAGTCTTTAAGCTGTGGCATAACAATTTCACTGGAGCCATACCTTCACAGCTTGGTCAGAATGGTAAACTGATTGAGCTTGATCTTTCGAGTAACAAGCTCACCGGAGTTGTCCCAAAATCTCTTTGCTTCGGAAGGCGGCTGAAGATCTTGATTCTGCTCAACAATTTTCTCTTTGGGCCTCTACCTGATGATCTTGGCAAATGTGACACGCTAGTAAGAGTCCGAATGGGGCAGAATTATCTGACTGGATCAATACCACCGGGGTTTCTTTACTTGCCAGAGCTCTCACTGGTAGAATTGCAGAACAACTATCTGACCGGACAGCTTCCGCAGGAAACAAGAAAGCAACCCTCAAAACTCAGCCAGCTGAATCTGTCAAGCAATCGCTTATCCGGGTGCCTTCCTGCTTCTATCGGAAACTTTTCAAGCCTGCAGATTCTTCTATTGAGTGGAAACCAATTCACTGGAGAAATCCCATCTGGCATTGGCCGGTTGCAAAGCGTTCTCAAGTTGGATGTGAGCAGAAACAATTTTTCGGGCACAATACCTCCGGAAATTGGAAACTGTCTCTCTTTAACCTACTTAGATTTGAGCCAAAACCAACTCTCCGGTCCAATCCCAGTTCAGATTGTTCAAATCCACATACTGAATTACTTCAACGTTTCGTGGAACCACTTAAACCAGAGCCTCCCAAAGGAGCTAGGCTCCTTGAAAAGCCTAACGTCTGCTGACTTTTCGCACAATGACTTCTCCGGTTCAATCCCACAAACAGGACAATACTTGTTCTTCAACTCCACATCCTTTGTCGGTAACCCTGAGCTCTGCGATTCTTCTGCGAATCCATGCAAATACTCCTCAACCTCAGCATCAGAAAATCACAACCAAACCGGCACGCACTCTCAAGTCCTCAGCAAATTCAAGCTTGTCTTTGCACTAGGCCTCTTGCTGTGCTCGTTCGTGTTTGCAACCGTTGCAATTATCAAGACCAGAAGGGTGCGAAAACATTCGAACTCGTGGAAGCTCACAGCATTCCAAAAGCTGGAATTTGGAAGTGAAGACATCTTAGAGTGCATAAAGGATAACAATGTGATAGGGAGAGGTGGAGCTGGGATTGTCTACAGAGGAACAATGTTGAGCGGCGAGCAAGTGGCGGTGAAGAAGCTGTTGGGAATCAACAAAGGCTCGTCACACGACAACGGCCTCTCCGCAGAAATTCAAACACTGGGAAAAATCCGCCACCGGAACATTGTCCGGTTGCTGGCATTCTGTTCAAACAAAGAGACAAATCTGCTGGTTTACGAGTACATGCCGAATGGAAGTTTAGGTGAAGTTTTGCATGGGAAGAGAGGAGGATATCTCAAGTGGGAAACTAGGTTGAATATTGCCATTGAAGCAGCGAAAGGGCTCTGCTATTTGCACCATGATTGTTCTCCTCTGATTCTTCATAGGGATGTTAAGTCCAACAACATTCTGCTCAACTCAGAATTTGAGGCTCATGTTGCAGATTTTGGGCTTGCCAAGTTTTTGCAGGACACTGGAACATCAGAATGCATGTCTGCAATTGCTGGTTCATACGGTTACATTGCTCCAGGTAATCCTTTTGCTACATCATTAAACCAATTCGAGCGGGGATTCTTACATGTAACGTGATGTATCCTCATCTATCTATCTGATTCTCACTCATCACATGAATCACTGTTTTTCTATCTAACTCATCACATGAGTCACGATATGAATGAGATAGAGAAATGGGATATGTCCCCGGTTGAACCTAATTTTTCTCTTGTTTGAGAATTTTTTTTAAAGTTAATTTAACATCAATTAATTGAATAGGCTAGTAATCCACAACATACTGAAAAAAAGTAAGTGTGATACTATTATATTAAACTCACATAGGAATCACACTATTAGTGGATCGGAAAACTTTGGTGTGATATCATTATATTTAACTCACACTAGTGTAGCAATAGTGTTATAGATTTCAAACTCATGTTACCTAATTCTTATATATAAGTATCACACTCACTCAAACTACTGTAGAAGGACTAAGTAGTGACGAATAGCTAAAATAGACCTATACACTTGATGCAGCACTTAAAGCAATTAAAGCACATTCCATGTGTCTTTTGTGACTTGGTGGACTAAGTCAGCCGCCTTCAAAAATTCCAGATGGAATGATTACTTCAAATCTTGATTTGTTTTGCTCAATTTGGTATTATAATGGGTGAATAGATGAATAGAAGATAGAAAACATCCACATACAGATCATGTCACAAACTTCTAATTAAAAATAAAACTCACAAACTTTTAATTTAAAATAAAACTCGAAAAACACTAAGACGTAAATGAAGATACACCAAATCGATTTAGGGTCCTTATGTATTTTCCCTAGAAAATGCTTGTTTCTTTTCCCTATGTGTATACTTTAGTTGGAACCAAAGTAGCGAGGAGTGGCATATGGATTACAGAAAGGGCAAAGGCTCCACTGACATAGGAAATTCTCCTTTTGCTTTTTATATTGCTCTCTACACACAGTGAAGTGCAGCATGAGCTTTTGCATGTCTTGAAACAATAAAATTCGATGTCCCCTTCAACCCAATTACAACCCCACCTTTTTGACCAAAAACCCATTTGAACCCAAAATCCACAAAACTCCATATAACCCATCGAGTATCTTGTTTGGGATCCAAGCTTTACTTTCCCTAAACCCTAGAAAGTAAGGCATCTGTGAAGATTATGGCATAAAACCCTAATGACCTTTTCCTTTTACAGACAGCATATTGCTTTTCTGTGTGTTGTGCAGACGAGTAAAAATAAAAATAGAACGGTGGATATATCACTTCATTTGTAGTGCATTTCTTACAAAAAGCTGAGACATTATTGTATTTTAGTCTCACTCAATCCTTCGCAGTCTCACTAATTGTGAAAGTTATCATAATGAGGCAGCCCCGTTGAGTATATTCTCCATGTACTTAACTCAAATTAGACAAATCGATTTCACTTTTTTCACCTGTTTCTTGTATATTATGAAATTTACAATGAGCTAAATTTGTTTACTGTGCCATGGAGCAGAGTACGCATACACATTGAGAGTTGACGAGAAGAGCGATGTGTATAGCTTTGGAGTTGTACTGTTGGAGCTCATCACAGGAAGAAGGCCAGTTGGTGGATTTGGGGAAGAGGGAATGGACATTGTTCAGTGGACCAAGATTCAGACCAACTCGCAGAAAGAAGGGGTTATAAAGATCCTCGACAAACGGCTAGACGCTGTTCCGATGGACGAAGCGATGCAGGTATTTTTCGTCGCGGTTTTATGTGTTGAAGAGCAAAGTGTGGAGAGACCAACCATGAGAGAAGTTGTTCAAATGCTTGCACAGGCTAAACAACCAAATACATTTTACATGCAATGATTCAATACTTGAATCGCTTCGTGTAGCAACAACAATATTTTGGTGACCCGGCAACAAAAATGTCAAGAACATGTACAATAATAGACGATTTTGGATCAAGTCGCGAACACAGTTGAGTAGTACTATAGCAGTAGCTAGCTGGCAGCCAAAGTAAGAAGTGATGAAAGCAAGCAGGCAGTCGGTCCTTATTTTTGGGGGTTTTTTTTGGTTTTGTTGTTGTATTTGTTAGAGTGAAGGTAGATTTGTTCTGGTTATCAATGGCAGGCAAAAGTGCTGATATGGGTAATGGTTCGTTTGCATTATTGTGTCATCATATAAATGTATGGCCTGAATTTTTAAAACCTGCGAAGCTAACACGTTTGACACGACACGACATGTTCGGGTTTGCAATTTTGAGTACAATGAATGACTTTCCTCGAGAAGAAGCCTCCATGCAACCTCATTTCATAGAACTTGTCATTACTAGTAAATTGAGAGGGGTAATATATAATCCAAAGGTTGGATATTTTTTTCCCCTCCACTGGGAAAATAAAAGATTATAGTGCCAACCTATCATAAACAGAAAGGTTCTGCATCTTTAATTAATACTGCCATATAAAAACCACAATGCCAAAGGAAACAAGTATGATTACAACCCAAATAAACTCTAAACTGATCTATCATTTGTACATAATAATTCAATTTACAAGCCAAGTTTCTTAGGCCTCAAGCATGTAGATGAGCCCTGGTGCAAACCCAGCATTGCGACTTGCTGCTGCTTGGATCTCTTTTCCCTCTCCTTCTGCTTGCTTTCTTTCTCCGCCTCTGCTCAAGCCTTTCTCAGATTCTCCATTTCCTCCTCCATCGCTGTCTTCTCCCCCTTTTGTCTCTTCTTGTGCTCCAACTTTGAGTTATCCGACTCCTTCACTTAATAGAACATGGGTCCAAACTCAGCCAGCCATTGGGGTTCCACTGCAGTGTTGCACTGCATATACTCCTTCGTTGTCAAAACTAACTCATGATAGATCACATAATCTGGATTGCAGCCCATACCATAAAGTGCGCTGCTCCGGTGCAAATGGCATGGCATCCCAGTCCGGCAATTGACATACTCCCCCACACCTTTCAATCTTGCTGCGTTCCGAAAGTAAGCGGAGCAAATAGCTCTTCTCACGGTATCAGTATGAGGCCAACAGGATGTGAGCGGGACTTTGAGTGTCTTCAGTATCTCTAGAAGTTGGGACCTCACCTCTCTGACGTTTTGCAGCCCTTTAACTTGCATAAAATGGTCATTGTACCAGTCCCCACGAAACTGATGTTGTTCCCACTGCTGATAAATGTTGTACAATGTCAAGTGGTCGGACTCTGGGAAGGAGAACTCTCCCTTGCAGCATCGCTCTCCTCTGCCCTATCTTCAGGCCTAGAGAATACCGACGGCACTGAAAGCATGGACACAATTGTCAAAATCTCGTCTAAACATCCTAGCTTTTCACCCATCAATAGCATCTTAGCGAGTGGAGGGTCCAATGGCAACTCCACCATTTTCCAGCCCAGGTCAGTTAACCACCCCTCGTTGTTAAGAGCACCCAACACCCACAACTGGTACATAGAATGCAGAATATTATCCTTGGGAGGTGGGTCTAAGAAATCAAAATCTAGCAAGTTATCAACCTGAAGAGATTTGAGCAACAAGACCACATATCCAAGATTGGTCCTCTGGATCTCTGGCACCGGATTGGGTAGCATTTCGTTTAAGTACTCATTCTCTGTGTATAGCCGATAACATGTGCCAGGCTTAGTTCTGCCAGCACGCCCAGCACGTTGATTAGCAGCAGTCTGACTAATAGGAAATACTCGAAGAGCATCCATACCCATTTTCGGGTTTTATACTTTCATTTTACCATAGCACGTGTCAATGACATGAGATTCCATCTACCGTTAAAGATGTCTCACCAATGTTGGTTGCCACAATGCATTTACGAGCCCCATCTTCAGCTTTTCGGAATATCTTCGCTTGCAAGTCAGCAGGCAACTGTGAATATATAGGAAGTATCAAGAGTTTTGGCACCTCTTTAACCAAGGTGGAGATAATTTGTTCCATCCGCTCTGATAGGGCATAACAAGCTGCCTCGATCTCATCTTGGCCGGTCATGAAGATGAGGATGTCACCTTGAGGGCTGGTGATGTGAATCGTTATGGCCTCCTTCACTGCAGCTTCAACATAATCTTCACATGGGGTTTTACTATACCTGATAGATACAGGAAATGTTCTCCCAGGAATTTCAAAAATCGGTGCACTTCCAAAAAAGTTTCTAAATTTCTGCGCATTTAGTGTTGCAGATGTCACAATGAGCTTAAAATCACGACGTCAGGCAACCACTTTTTTTCAAAATCCCAAGCAGCACATCCGTGTTTAGTGACCTTTCATGGGCTTCGTCCATCACAACTACGAGATACTTGTCAAGATCGGAATCTCGTAAGTGTTTCACGCATAAGTACTCCATCAGTCCTGTACTTTATTATGATATTTGCTCCAATCACATCCTCAAAGCGAATAGCGTACCCCACTTTTTCACCAAGCTCAGTCTCCATCTCTTCATTAACTCTCTTTGCAACACTCATGGCAGCCGCACGTCTTGGTTGGGTGCAACCCACAATGCCATTTACAGTGTATCCCTCTTCGTGCAGATACTGTGTCAGTTGAGTCGTCTTTCCAAAACCGGTTTCTCCAACAATAACAATAACTTGATTTTTTCGAATTACCTGAAGTAAATCATCCCTCATAGAATATATGGGCAAAAACTGCTGTTGCTGCGAGATAGTTTTTGACTGTGCGAATTCACTTGCTACTTCCCCATTCTTCATATGCTGTGCAAACTTTGCATCTTCTTTGAAATCAGTTTCACCATCTGCACCTGCAGCAGCAGTATCTGCTTCAACCTGCTCTGGTGCTTTCTCAACACCAAGGATATCGCCTAGTTTAGAACCTGCAAGCTCCCAAAAACACTGACGCGATTTGTTCATATTTTGCTTCTCATGGATTTTCCTAATGAGAGCAGACCCTTCGCGAGAAATTATGGCCATATCAGATGTGGGATCCTTTATTGGCATTGTCGGCTCTGATGGCTTGGTAAAAACAACACTCCATCCTTTACAAAAACACTGTCAACGAGGAAAGGAGGCTTCAAATTTGTATCATGCATGAGAAGATCTAACTTTGTGCTCTTCTTCATCATCGAACTCAGTCTGCACCTCAGTCACTCTACCAGCACCAGATCTTAAAAGTTGACGATCCTCCCACCGCATACTATCAGCAGTGAGCTGAGACAACTTTTTGCTCTGAGCAAGGGTCATCTTTGTTCCATCTCTTCGAACCAATCTTTTTGCCAACTCTGCTTCCTTCTTCTGAAAAGAAGCATTATCTCCAAAAAACAAACACGAGCTATCAACTGTATCAAACATCTTGTTTCCTTCTTCCCTATCGTACCACGCATGATCAGAATTGTATTCCATCTCTAGACGCATGCTTTCACTAATCTCATATTAACGTCTTCGTCCCAATCAGCCATGTCTCCTTCTCCATCCTCAAATAATTGTGCATTTTCTGAATGAAGAGTAATTCTACGAGAACTCACATCATGTTTCGAACTTGAAGATTTAACCGCATCTCCAGAAGGACAAATTCAAACTGGCGACGAAGAAATGGGATCCCAGGGAGAAGCATCAGATTCCGAAATATTGTATCTACTCCGCTTTCTTCCATATTCTCCACCACATTGATCTTGTTCACACCGGTCACATTCTTTCCTTCGACGTCAACAATCCTTACCATAACTACTGCTACCATCTCTGCAATCTCTCCTCCTCCTATGTTCTTCCCTGCTATAAGCATACCTACCCTTACAAACTCTCAGTGCCTCAAAACTTCCATCAACACCCTTAAACCCTCCCAATTTCGCATTACCATTGACATTGAAACCTAAGACAGATTTCTTCTCAGGACGTCTAAAAACAACTCTGTCCTTCCCCTTCCCTGGAACATATAATCCCCCACCACCACTGCTATTCTTTTGCTCCATTGTTACCCTTGTTTTGTCCGTATCAACAGATTCATTCCTTCGTTTTCAATAGAAAACCACGCACACACAATAACTTATACATCAAGAAACCTGGTACAATTACAAACTTGGTACCAAAACCTAGTCTCTCCCAACAAACAAAGGAAATTGGAAAACTTTACGTGCATATTTACCGTTTTACCCACATCCATAGATTATATAACTTGCAACCAAAACAAATTGGAAAGCTTAGGAAACAGATTTGGGCAGAATTCACCAGCCCCAAATCAGCTTCTTTTTTTAATTTGTATAAATTTTGTTGACTTAACAAAAATATAAATCACAGAAATAGTGATTGAAACAGAGTTATGGGGTCTCTCTTACCTTGGGGGGGATTCAGGCGGCTGTCGAATTATGAACATAAACCCAGAAAAGTATTCAACTTTGTAACTGTGTTCGATCAGAAAAGGTCAAAACTTTGATCTGGGGTAGCAATATTCCGCTGGATCCTGTTTTGGGTCGGTTGTGGCTTCTCTATTTGGGCCTTGGCCCTTTGTATTGGGTCAGCACAGCCCAATGTGGTGAAAACAGAGGCCGCCCACTCAGTACCAACCTCTGCAAGTTCCCGCTTTCACCTGGACTGAGTAAACAAACACCACAGAAGTCAAAACCCTAGAGAAATTTCAGAGCAAGAGAGGAAGCAGCAAGGAACCGATTCAGTTCTTGTTGTTTGACTTCTGAAGGTACGTAAAGCTGGCTCCTTTATTTCAATCAGTTCTTGTTGGGATGCAATTTCTTCTTAAACCATTCTGCTTTATTTTAATTTCCTTCCCAACTCTTGTGTAATCTCAGACCATAAACTGTAGTTTATTGGACTACTCAGATGCTTAATTTTTGTATTTCCTGAGGAATTCGTGCCTTCACTCGTTGAAAATTCAGTTTTTTTCTGTGATCATAATTAGATATAAATTCTGGTGTTTGAAGTGTAGATTTGTAGGCTGAAATTATTTGATTAATTTTTTGAGTTTTGCTAGTTAGAGGTGGAACCCATAAAAGATTCATTACTTTCAGTCCAAGCTACCAGCAAAGGCAAGCAATGGAGTGATGGGCAGGTAATGGATTGTAATCTATTCAAACAATCATACTCGTAGTCATAGTTGGTTCTAGTTGGAGTGCATTATCCCAGTTGCATCAATCTTTACGTCTTCCTCGAAACTACGTTGTTTTGGTAGGTCATACACAAGATGTCCTCCAGAATCGCCCAAATCCGCCTTGTCAGCTCTCATCCCGAGGTTTATGAACCGTGTGATGATTCGTTTGCTTTAGTCGATGCTCTTTTAGCTGATCGAACAAACCTGTTGCAGCACCAACCGACATTTTGCTTGGAACTGGGTTGTGGTAGTGGCTATGTCATTACTTCTCTAGCTCTTATTGTTGGCCAGGCAGCGCATTATATTGCGACTGATATCAACCCCCACGCAATGAAGGTGACTCGTGAGACATTAGAAGCACATGGGGTTCATGCGGAGTTGATAAACACTAACATTGCATCAGGACTGGAGAAGCGTCTGAAAGGTTTGGTTGATGTAATAGTTGTGAACCCGCCTTATGTGCCGACCCCTGAAGATGAGGTGGGACGTGAAGGGATTGCGTCTGCTTGGGCTGGCGGGGAGAATGGACGTACTGTGATTGATAGGATACTGCCTGTTTCTGACAATCTTTTGTCAAAGAAGGGCTGGTTGTACATGGTCACTCTTACAGAAAACAATCCCTTGCAGATATGCCTTCAAATGAGAGAAAAGGGCTATGCTTCCAGAATCCTTGTCCAGAGATTGACAGAGGAAGAAAATCTACAAATCATCAAGTTCTGGCGGGATTCAGATTCTCAAGTAGCAGAAAAGGAAAACAAAACAGTTCCTGCAAAGGTCATGGAGTCTTTGCTCTCTCAGTTCCATATATTCCCGTTTCTGAGAGGCAGTAACAACGACAGTAGCTGATGTATACAGAAGGGGAAGAAGTAAGTTTTCTAGTGCGTACATGATGGAAAAATGATCTATTCTCATATTCTTCTTGAGTTTTGGAAACCTTTGTTGGAATGTGAGATGTACACAATTGATTCGTTTGGTGCCGTAGGGGCCTTCCGCATACGATCATTTCTACGAAAACTTCCAATTCCTGGATGCATGTTTTCGTAGCAGCATCTGCAGGACATCTTCATCATTTTCCTAATACATTACAACTTGGGTGCAACTCAAGAAATTGCTCAAAATTGTCAATGAAGATTTTATTTCTAATGCCATTTTATTGTAATCGGATTATGAAATGATTATTTTGTAATGCTTTGAAAACAAGTTGTCTAGGAATGTAGTGTGCAATCCTCCTTCAAGGTTTAATAGCGCGTCGAAGTGACAGCATAAAGTAACCAAAGGAGCATTGCATTGTTTCTTCAACGGATATTTCTTGAATGTCAAGCTAACAAGTACAATTTACTGTAAGAATCCTATGTGGACTCAACTAGTTGTGATAAAGGAGAAGTAATATGTTGGTAATGCGAATCATTAGAGTTTGAATACGTTAAAACCAGCATCCTATAATTAAGGAAATACATCAAACGTGCTTCTAAAGCCACTCCATACACGGTTGAGATTTGGTGCAACGGGTGAACAACCAACCCTCCACGATAGATGGAAGTTTATAGATGTGGGTTTGCTCTGTCTCAATAAGAAAACGATACAGCGGTGAACAAGTCGTTTGACACACTGGACAAGATCGAAGATCATTTAAGTAGTTGGAGATACATGTGTGCAGATGAACTCACACTTGCAGATGTTTGCTTGTTCACTACGTTAATCCGGTTCGATCTCGTTTACAACCCGGTTCTATCTTTTCTGCTCCTATACTGACAGTTTGGTTTGCAGTAAAATGTTATGAACAATTAAGAATATTGTTCAATAACAGTAAAGGAAGAATAATTGTGGTTTAAAACTCATGAAATGTTCACATTCTTTTCCAACGAAGAGGATGTATAAATTGTTGGTAGTTTTAATCAGTGTATGACATCATGTAGATCAGGCCATATTCTTGTCCAAAGACTTGTAATAATTGCATGATAATATTCTTGAATGATGGCTATACAATGAAGGTCAATGGCAGTTTATATATCTTGCCCAAATTAGGTGTGTTATAAATATGCATTTAACAATCACTAATGGTTGTTTCAAGTTTTTCATGTCTTCGACAGCCAAATCTTTATTCACTACAGGAAAAAGAAAGATAGAGGCTCTTCTTGATGGGTGTAGAGGTTGAGTACACCCGAGCGCACCAGATCACGCCACACCCGCTCCTTCATTTGCTCCATCTCCCGTTCTCGATCTCCAGATTGTAGTGCATGTAATTGATACATCTATGGGAGTAAGAATCAACCATGTTATTTCTATATGTGATCGGTGCCTGAAAAAACCCTTACATGAGTAAGTTTGTTGCCTTTGATTTCCAATTAAATGGGTAAAGTAAATTCATGTAAATCAATTTCTCAATCTGCTGTGTTCTATGGTAATGTATAGTAGATATATATTGACTGAATTGAATAGCCATAGTATTGGTTGCTGTGGGAAATAATCAAATATGGATTACAAATTTTGAGTTTTGCAAACATGAAGCAAAATTGACATATTGTGCGTTTAAATAAGCACTGAGTTGTCCTACACACACAAAAGGCTGGGGCACATCATAAATTAAGGAAAAGGAAAACTATTTTTATCAGAAACCATGTCTATTACTCTTTCTTTTACTCTCCCTGCACTGCGCATGCTGCTGATGGCGCCAAGAACATGAAGCACATATGTACACAAATGATTAAGGTTGTAGCAATCTGTGGGAGTATCCTTAAAATTGTTGTTCTTAATAAACACGCAGTGATGATTTATGTGTGCATGCATGAGATATGAAATTAAAAGTGATGGTGTGGGAATTATCGATGTTAATTTGGTTTTAATCTCTTTTTAGTTTTGCAGCATTCATTTCTCCCACCTGTAGAAAATTGAACAATGCGCTTTGATTCGTTGATATTTATCAACATATGTGTGTCAAAAGAGAAGAAAAAGGATTGTACAATTCTAACATGTGGCATCCACAGGAGGTATTCTTTTCGAAAGAAAATGAAAAGAATTGTCAATTCTTTTAATTTTTCAGCTTGGTGTTTGTAAGGCGAATGCAAAGATAATGGTCTAGTGGATTTGCATTACTGACAGAAAATAAACTAGGTCCTTGAGGTAGCTAATGATGTTAGCTTCAGCAAGAGAGAAGATGTGTGTCATCTATGGGTTTTTTTTTTTTTTTTTTTTTTTTTTGAAGCAATTATTTTCAGCATGCTTTATAATATTGACATCCATGTGGAGGAAGTATGATATTACAATTTTAATATGGCTTGTTGATAGGAGCATATTTAGGCGACTTAGCTAGCTTATTCTTATGCATTTGTGCTATTATATCTTAGTTAATGTCGTATTACAACTCAATTTCGTGTGTTTGTAGGTCCTATGGGTTAAAGTATCAAGAAAGTGCATTTTGGTGCATTTTGGAGCAATTTTGGACACTATGTGGATAGCTTGCATACGGGCCAACATAGATGGACGAATTTGGACTTCAAGAGGCTAGAAATGTGATAAGAAGAGGAAGGAACTAAGCTAAGGACAAAGTGGATAAGGAAGTAGCTCAAAGAGGAAACCCTATCCAAAACCTTATCTAAAACCTTATCCAACATTATCCAAACCTTATCTCATCTTATCCTATCTTATCCCAACCTAATCTTGTTCCACCTTAATCCTAGTTGCAAGTGGACCTAAAAACATGATTTCTAGAAGCCTTATCTAACCCTAAAAGGGTGCCACACCCTTCCCCCTTTTATTTCTTCTAGAAAACCCAAAATCAGCCACAAAACACCTAGTTTCTAGAAGGCCCAATTTTGGACGAATTTCCTAAACCTTTTTCCCTTTGGATTCTGATTTATTAGGCCTCATTCCTTGTGGATTTGGGTTATCTAAATCCTTTTATGAAACGAATTGGGCCAAACCCTCTCCTAGGTGGATTTAACTCACTTGTGCTAAACCCTAGGGCCCTAATCCAATAAAATCTGCTAAGTGTAACCCTAATCTAGTTAACCCTAGGACTATATAAACATAAAATCAGCCAAAAATTCGTACACCCCCTTATGCTATTCGGAAACCCTTGTGCCGCAACCTCCATTCTCCATTCTCAACCTCCATACACCTCCATACATCTTCCTACACATCTGCCGCACCCTTCCCACCATAATCAACCATCCTTCATCCCTCCAAACGAGGAAACACCATCCAAAATCCCCAATTCCATCACACACACTTTGTGCCGCAGCAAGGAGGAGGAGGAGGAGCCAAACCGTGCATCAAATCCATCTTGGAATTGCTGAGCGTTTAGGTGTAATCTTTCTTATGATTTCAATGTTTAAATTCAATACTTTTTGTTGTGCAAGCATGAGGAACTAATCCCATTTTGGCTAGGGGGGAATTTCGAAACCATGGTTATATTTGCATGATGATTTGATTACTTTCAGTTGTGATTTCATGAATGATGAATTCAATTTACTTATCTGTTTTAATTAAAACTTGTTTATGTATATGAATTGAGAGTGCACGCTTAATTTGCATGCATAAACATGATGCTAGGGTATGAGGGAACTTCACCTAATCGTTGGGAACTTATATTCATGAGTAGTTAAGATTGTTGGTCACAATTATGTTAAGTAAATTCTTGGCATAAGTATCATGCGCTTTCATAGTTATGAATGCCTCGTCAACACCTATGATTTCCATAGAACCTAATGACCCTTGATTGTCTTTCTTTTATGCGCTTTCATATAGAAAACTCTTAAGGAATAATTTGATTGCAATGCGCTAATTCCATTCAATTCAATGGCCTAAGGGAAATCTGAGAGTTAATTTAAGCGTACCTAATTAACTTGGGGTGTTGAGGTTCATAAATTCATTGAATAAGCAACTGAAAATTGTGTTATATGCAACTATGCCATGTGTGGAGAAAAACCTCCTAGCCATCTCACCATCCACTTAATTCTATCAATTTCGTCCAAATCTGCCTAGTTTACATATTTGTTTTGTTTGTTTGATTTTCGTCCAAAACCAAATCCCCAATTGTCTTAGAGTGTCTAATTGGTCCAAATATGTTTTAGATTGTGTTTTTAAGAGTTTTGAGTCAAGTTAGAACCAATTTTCGTCCAAGTTTGTGTTTAGGCTCAAAACTGCCCAGATTGTGTTTTTAAGGCAGTTTTGAGTGTTTCTAGCCTGTTTTGAGTCTTGTGACGTGTTTGAGTCTTTTTAGGTGAGTTTAAGTGTTTTAAAGGTCAGGTTTATTTATTTGAGTCAGTTTAGAGAGTTTAGCAATCCCTCCTAATCCCCGGTGTAAGAACGATCCCTACTTATTTATATGCTACAATTGTCAAAAAATGGTTAATTTGTGTGTTAAGTTAATTTTCGCATCACTTGTTATATTGTGATTAATCTCTTTCAAGCATGCTGACAGTTTTTGTGAGATTAATTGGATATTAAAGAGAGTCATGAAGAAGATTATTGGGTCGATGCCATTTGTTGGCAAGACTCGAAGTATCAGGTTATCATAATGACTTAGTTGACAATCCATGTGACTTTTGACTTATTTCAGGTTGGAGTTGATCAATTTCTTTACACGCTTGCATCAACTAAGCAAGGGGTTTGTTTTTTAAGGTTACTTTGATCAAACTTGCATCTTGATTAAGATGGCATAGTATGGATTTTATTTCATAAGAGTTGTGAAGGTTTCATCTTGCCCACAGGTGTTGAAGTTTTTCATGAAGGTACTCTTGTGACATATAATCTAGTACTAGAAACTAATTAATTTTCTTGCCCAAATGTGTAAATTAAAATAGTTTCATAAAGTTTCGTTGGGGGGATTAAGTTCCATGTCTTCACAATGAGCCCAATTATAGTTTGTGGTTTTGCGGCATAGAAATTGGTTGCATCATGATATACTCTATGTCTCTTTATGAGACTTGTTGATGTAAAAATATTGGAATCATAAAGATTAATCAAGGATTGCCCAAGTACGCATTATTTAAGTATGACGCTTGTAAATTTTTCAATTTGAACTCTGATGCCCATTTAGAGGATGAAATTTGACTACTTGAGTTTCCTTTGGACATCGAAATTGAAATGATGTGAAATTGAATTTGTTATGGATGTATAGATTTATGATAGATGCACATAATTTTTCTGGTAGATTGCGTGTCATGATTAAAGTCGGATGAATGACATGTCTAATGGTCACCAAATGACTTGAACTTTTTATATGTTTAGCATATAATATGTTTCTGCAAATTTTCATAATTTTTTGCCATGAATTGTAATAATGGTAAAATTTAAAGTGTAACTTATTATTAAAATTCAGTTTGACAACCTTATGTTGGGTATGGTATATTTTCTTATGTCTAAAATATGAAGCGATTTTATTTCGCTCATTCTTTGAAAGAATATATTTATGAGTATTAGCCCAAATGGGAGAATAAGTGAAAGGAAAATTGGTTTTCACACTCATTAACTTTTGCAAGATGTCTATAAATTTTCACCTGTGCTTGAATTTTGTCTTCCTTAAGTTAAGTTGCATGAATGAGCACTTGGTAAAAAGACTTGCGTACATATGTTTTTCACCAAAGTGAAAAGACTTCCGGAACTGGATTATGTAATTATGATTTTAAAACTCAATACTTGTCAATACTATTTTCCAAAAAGAGGAATGTATGAATGGTTTGCGATCTTTTAGGGTATAACATTTAACGGCTATTGAAATGTGGGAGTGCATGATTTCATGGAGTTTGCATGTTTCATGGAGTAAAGGAAACTATTGCATGTTTCATTGTGCCTTGTATCACTACAGCTTATTATTGACAATATTTATGTTGATTCAAATTTGTAATGTGCAATTAAATGACAGATCATTGTTCCAAAGAACATGTTTAGTTGAGTCGATCTTGTAATGCGCAATTATGAAATGATTATTTTGTAATGCTTTGAAAACAAGTTGTCTAGGAATGTAACGTGCAATCCTCCTTCAAGGTTTAATAGCGCGTCGAAGTGACAGCATAAAGTAACAAAAGGAGCATTGCATTGTTTCTTCAACGGATATTTCTTGAACGCCAAGCTAACAAGTACGGTTTATTGTAAGAATCCTACGTGAACTCAACTAGTTGTGATAAAGGAGAAGTAATATGTTGGTAATACAAATCATTAGAGTTTGAATACATGTAAAACCAACATCCTATAATTAAGGAAATACATCCAACGTGCTTCTAAAGCCACTCCATACACGGTTGGGATTTGGTGCAACGGGTGAACAACCAACCCTCCACGATAGATGGAAGTTGGCTACCATTGTATCCGTATAAAATGAATTCCCTACTCTCAGAGAAATGTTTCTGCGTTAAAGGTCAATCACCATCAGAATATAAAGGTCTGAGTAGAAGAGTTCTGGTTTGTGATTAACAACCAACCATGGCTACACCAGTCAAAGTCAATCTTGTTCAACTTCCATGGCAATTGCTGTAATCAGATCAGCCGATTATTTCTTTGTGTTATAATTATACAACCATGCTAAGTTCTAACATTTACAACCCAAACAAACCCCGATGGCTAGAGAACGGGAAATTAAGGATCCATCTGATCCATTCTTCAGTGAGCAGCGTCATCTCACATAACACAGCAAATGGATAGAAATCTAATTATGTGTATTTACTTACGGAAAACAAGAAGTAGATTGATCCATAATATAACATATCTATACAGAAAACGATCCATTAAGGAGATTTACAGAGCTGTCAATGTGAAAACCTGCACAAAACTGCATTTCAATTTCTCTAAATGAACAAAGTCAATTGACATTCAAGCAAGATCCTTTTAGTCCTTTTTATGGCAGTCTTAGCAAGAGTATCACAAATCTCTCTACTCCGGTTGGAGACTGCAACTTTGTTGCCGCCAATGGCTTCAGAATTTTTCCCCTGGAGGACTTTTCCATTGAACTTTTAGTACCTCCTTTACAAAAACCTTCAACCTCCATAATGTGCGCTCATTCGCAGTTTAACCACCCTACTAAAATAAAGTTAGACATTCACTTTCGTTATTTGCAACACGTCAATAAAATGCACTTTGATTTGAAGCTTCAAAAAGTAAATATAAACCCAAGCAAGTGGATATGGGTTCTTAACAAACCTGCACTTCTGAACCACTATTTCTCTGAGTTTCCTCAAATACGCATCAATCTCAAAAAGCTGAAAATAATTTTGTTAAAAAAAATGTACATCATGCGTCAGAATTTACTCCTAATAAATAATCCAACTTTTGGTTGGCATTGTGTATGTAAATGCATGCTGCTATTAAAAATTAGAATAAAGAGAGAGAATTGAGATCCTTCGTTACAAATTAGAGAGAGAGAGCAGGATTGAATGAACGCAACAAGCGAAAGACTTTCTCTTCGCTAACAAATAAATAGATAGATAGAGTTGTGTGGTGTATGGATATGGGCGTACATGGAAGAGCAGAGACGCATACTGAGCCGGGGGGGAGAGAGGGAGAGAGAGAGAGAGAGAGAGAGAGAGGCTGAAGAAGAACGCAATGCCCGATCACCAGCTGCTCTGTATTTGATTCAAACGAACTCGAGTTTTTCAAAATTGGGCTGTTTTTTATACTTATTGGCCTCCTGCCTTTTGTCTTTCCCGTTTTGAACGGCCCAATATTGTTTTTAATTTTTTAATCTTTTTAGGTATATTTACATTTATCCATTGATTATCCTAATTTAAGGGCCACACACATTTTTCAATTTTTCGATCGTTAGATTGAATGAATTAAAAAATATTAAATAATAAAAATTAATAAGGTTATGTGGATAACAACACCTCTTATTCAACTTAATCATCACGAATAATTAGAGGTGCGTAAAAAAAAATGGGAGTTTTAACGAAAAATCCAAAGTACTGTTCATTTTAACAAAAAACCATGTTTTTATACTAAAAAGTCAATCCTGATACTATTCACTTTACCCTTTATTTTGTCCTTATTATTAAAACTCAAAGTTTTCAAGCCCTTTTCATTAGTTTTCCTAAAAAAAAAAAGAGTGAAGAGATCAATTGTAGTATCCCACATCGCCCGTGAGGGCGTGGTCTTTGGGCCTTATATATCCATGCCCAGAGCTTTAACTTCAGAGAGGCCTTTTGTGGACTACGGTCCATAAGAACAAAACCGTGTGGTAGCTGGGTGGCTGCGACATAGTCCAAGCCCAGAATGCCAAAGCGGACAATATCCGAGAGGTTGGAGTCTGGGATGTGACAATTTGGTATCAGAGCCAGACTCACGGTCGTGGTGTGCCGACGAGGACGTCGGACTCCCTAAGGGGGGTGGATTGTAGTATCCCACATCGCCCGTGAGGGCGTGGTCTTTGGGCCTTATATATCCATGCCCAGAGCTTTAACTTCAGAGAGGCCTTTTGTGGACTACGGTCCACAAGAACAAAACCGTGCGGTAGCTGGGTGGCTGCGACATAGTCCAGGCCCAGAATGCCAAAGCGGACAATATCCGAGAGGTTGGAGTCTGGGATGTGACATCAATTATCTTATCTAAATTAATCTTAGAAACCCTAGGTATCTAAAAGGAAATAAAATTTAAAATTTAAAAAATTTAAATCTTTTTTTTGTTCTTTTTAACAAACAATATTATCTACATTAAGAGAGAATTGGTGGGCTTAGCCTCATAATAAACTAGCAATAATGTGGTTCACATTCGCCTTTGGTGAGACTTCTCATTTACAAGTGAAGAAGAATGTCATTAGATCGTAATACTAAGTGGTATTTAAAATCCGAATTAAACATGATAAATGACATATTCGGACGAATTCTGTCTAAAACAGGCTTTAAACATACATGCTTAAATTAAAATTGCGTCATTCGGACATCACGAAAAGTCTAAAACACTCACATTAGAGATATGACAACGTCAAATAACCTATGTGTTCACATGAATACAAACTCTTCAATCACTTTTCTTGATTGCTCACTACTTTCTTCTTTTACTTTTATTGTATGTAAAATAATCTAATTGCTCACCACTCTAACAACTCTGGCTTAGTGTTTAGGTCTCTATTGTGATTATGCAGTGAGGAAGGGTAAGGTTATATATTGGTGAGGATTATAATAGGTTTAAAATTTGATTATATCCAATGCAATCATAAAACAAATGTGTACAAAACGATTAATTTGTCTTTGAAAAATATTAATTGAAACATGGGAGAATAATGTGTGAAGATGGGACCATAACGTTATAATGTCATGTTTTGATATAACTAAACGCTCTTAAACAGTCAAAAATCGAAATTCAAATCTATCTCCCCTATTAATCTAAAAAAAAAAGCTCAACTGTTTAGATTAAAGCTCAATTGTCCGTGCAAGACTACTGTACTAGCTAAAAAAACTTTTTTTTTTAACAAACTATATTATTTATACTAAGGGAAAGGAGGTCGGCTTAGCCTCACAATGGATTAGCAATAATGTGGTTCAAATTTCCTTTTAACGAGAATCGAACCTAAGATCTTTCACTTACAAGTAAAGAGGAATACTACTAGACCATAGTACTAAGTAGCTGCTAAAAAAAAAAAAAAAAAAAAAACACTTTAACATTAAATAAACAAACACGTTGAGGTAGACACACAAATATAAATTAAGCCACATGAGCAACGAACGCAAAGCTATACAGAAACAATAAATAATAAGGAAAGAACTGAATTTGCCAACCAGTACTTGTTTGATTGGTACTGTAATGAGTATTACATAGTAATTCACATAGAGGATATGACTGATACATACACACAGACATGCATACATACATACACAGACTGATAGACCAAAAGATTACACATGAATGAAACTTTGGGAAAACAAATATTCCCAAAGAGATTACAAGTATTAAAGAATAACAAATCAAAAATTTTCACCAAAATATAACATTTTACACAGAAGTCATCACTGACTTGGGGAGAAAGGACTTAATAATTTTAAACCTTTTTAATCCATGCATGGTTGATTGATTGTTCTTCCTAAGGCTTTGGTGGTTCTGCAGCAGCAGATTCCTCCACCTTTGGAGGAGGAGCCTCAGCAGCAGCTTCGGGCTCGGTAGGTTTAGGTTTCTCAACCTCCTCCTCTTTCTTCTCCTCCACCACCACCTCTTCTTTCTTCTCTTCTTCGATAACTATCTCCTTTTCTTTTACAACACCACTTGTTTCCTCCACAGTTTTTGTTGCTTCTGCTGGCGGTGGCAGCGGCTCTACCGTTTCCTCAGTCACAATGAATGTTGAGACCTTCTCGAACACAAAGAAAACTGGACCTGAAACATAGGCTGGCCCATATTTTGAAGAGGCTTCTGATACTGTTTTGGATCCTGGGAATTCTGTTCATGCAAATATAGATTCAAACCAATTAATTAAATAATTAAAAACACAAGTGTTTTTGAAGAATTAAAACCAAAAATCGTTGAATATGATTTAAATAATTTACATACCAATTTTAGCCAACTCTTCAAGGAACTTGTGGACTGCTGCTGAGTACTTCTTCAATCCTGACTCTTTGCGCTCCTTAACCAAAATCTGTTAAATATGAAATTAAGTTAAAGAAAAAGAGTTTATTAGCACTTAAGTATTGGTTTATTAATTTACTCTTTTATTGTTTATCTCGTAAGTTGTCTTATGAACAAGATTTTTAGCATATACAGATACATACTCGTATGCAACTGGTGACAAGACATATTTTCTCATCTTATACGACAAGTTTCTAAATATCTTACCTTGATTTCAGCTGAGGAAGCTTCATATAATTCAATTACTTTTGGTTGAAGCTCAGCCTTCTTCTCTTCAAACTCCTTGGTTATTTCCTCCTGAAAACAGATGCATATACAGTTATATACCACAAATATCGATGAACCGTTTTATCCGTATGATCTTCTGCAGAAAATAAAATCATTTGACCTAAAAATCAGGAGAAAAAAAAAAAAAAAAAAAGACATATATATATATAAAACAAACCTTCGACTCATCAAAGGACTTGCAAGCCTCGGCAGCAGCAGCCTTTTTTGAACTGGTTTTGGTCTCAAACACCTTCTTGATCTTTGGAAGCACCTTTGTTTGCCAATAACCCATCTCTTCTACTCAAATATCCCTTAAACAAAGTCTAAAACCGAAAAACGAACAATCCGAAAATCAGAAAAACTCAAGTATCAGACCGAACTGGTTACCAAACGATCCTCTAAAGTTATGCAAACAAAAATACGGAAAATAAGTACGAAAATTTTGAAGCCTGCAAAAGCACAAAGAACTTGACGAAACTAAGCTAATAATAATCTCTATATCTTACCTACTTAATTGTGTGATTAATTCTCTTCCTTTCTCCTTCTCTTCTCCAATCAAACTCTCAAGGTCCACCTCAAGGCTCTATCACTGTAGCAGCCAACTGTCTCTCCAAAACTAATACCACAAAATCTTTAGAACCTGGCACATCAACATATAGACATATGCTACTCACACTTAAATACCCCTATAATTCCACTTTAATTGCCAAAATACCTAGTTATTCATTGATACCAGCCAACCTCCCCATGCAAATTGCCTAAACTACCCTCCGCCGTCGGTTTATAGAATTTAAAATATAAGGGCTATGACAGTCCACCAAAATTCACAGGTAGGTTTGGCCATTTTTTCACAATTCGATATGTGATTCAAGGCCAGGGTGGCGTGGTTGTAAATTTGTGGGGTATGTGGGAGAGATAGACTCACCTAGACTTGAAACATTATCGTGTTGTATTTCAAATCAATAATGTATTGTTGGTGAAAAAGTTAGAATATATGATAATACGTTATTAATTTAGAATATTATCACAATTGTGGTCTGGACATAAATTTCTTTCTTATATGCGGCGGTGTGTGTTTTTTAAGAGATGTAGGATTCGAATTTAATACCTCAAACACAATGAAAATAATTTTAACCACCTGAATTACAAATAATTAATGTGTATGATTAGTTTGAAGTATTTATATGATCGCAAATCATGGTCCGAGTGCATGTAAGTTTTTTTATGAAAATGTAGGGGGAAATTGTGGTGTGGGCCATGTAGGGGGAGGTGACAGCTGGCAATCACCTCAAGGGGGAGTAGATTTTATCAAATTGAAACGTGGGACCCTTGAAGGGTTTTCCCGATTTGGATGTTGATCTGTAAATTTAATTGTTAACGTGTATGGATCTTCTTCTTCTTCTTCCTTTGGCTTCACAGAAAATACTTGTCACGTGGCTTCGCTGGATATTTGGCAATCATGATTCACGCCGTCGATGACTGAGCAAATTTCTTCGAATAAAACCAACCCCCCATGGCCCCCCCATTTACAAATAATGCAGACAAAAATTCATGCCATGTTACTCTTTGTTTGATTGTATGTGGATACAAAAAAACCAACCATAAATTAAATTAAAAAATTTTAAAAATACAAATAATATACATGTGTGTGTGTACATAGCTGGGTAGCCTAGCTAGCATCCACATGGGGGTTAATTATAATTTTATTTATTTATTTCTTTTTTAGGGTTTGGAGGCCATAAGAAGGAGTGGGAAACAAGAAAACTGTGTATTGGTTTTGCAGTGGGGCTAAGACAGGTTTTGTATTGGTTTTTTAGCTGCATATGATTTGGTTTTGGTACCAGAATGGTTTAGTTTATGGTGTATATAACTGGATTTTTCCAAGTGCCACTGGTACAAGACATCATACATTTTGAATCATTGTTCTGATTTTTGTTGTAAGAATAATTGTATTTTTGTCTGAAGACCAACTAATTCGTTTTGCTCCTTTGAAAATTACAATGCAAACGTAACTAAACAAATCAAAGAACGAGTTTTTACACATATGTCAAACCATATTTTGTTGTTTAAATGACAGGTAAAATTGATTTTCAAGTTGAACTCTATTGAAACAGCATCCTTGAGTTTACCAAAAAGAGATTCTATGTATCATACATTTTCAGGGAGATGTCCTTTTTTTATATGTAACAGGGAGATATCCCAGGTGAGAACACCTTTCCAGAGGTTAGGGGATTTTTCAGAGAAAAAGATATTGATTTTTCTGTGAAACGTTCATCTTTTGCTAATCTGACGGCCACCCATTTGCCTACAAGAATTAATACTCGAGTTTAATCTGAGTGTCGGGAAATTCTCCAGCATCTCGTTGCTTATATCATCATGTAAGTATTTATCTCTCTTAACAGGAAAGTTGTACGCATATTCACCATATTTAACTATGAGTTCATGGTTGTCATAATTTTTTGAAGAGTTTGTAGTTCAGTTGGTTAATGATATTGATCCTTGCATCTGAGGTCCTGAATTCTATTCTCGCTTGACACTTTTATTAAAAAAAAAAGTGTGATATCCACACACTCATGTTTACTTCTTACGCACTTCTTTAATTTTTGGCCGTCATATCAGATAAAATAAAGAAAATTAACAAACAGAATTTAACAAGCAATGTGTGAGAAGTAAAAAGAGGCACACCCCTTTAAAAAATAGCAAAACTTTAACATCCCATTATAATTTATCTCCCTATCAAGAACGGTCAATCTTAATCCCACTAGGAAAAGGATCAAGATTATGGAGAGTCTAGTCAAAAATGTGATTTGATAATTTATTTCTTTATTTAGCAAGCTTAATCCAAATTTTCCTAATTATTATAACAAAGGGATGGTGAGCAGTCTCAGTGAGAAAGTGATTAATTGAAAATTAATATTGTATGATTATGATGATATTGTGGACTAAATGTTTTTGTTTTCCTTTATTTGTCTTGTTTCCTCTAGATTCAGATATTGACTTCTAACATTTGAAATCCTATTAGAACATGATAAATTATAAAACCTGAATCTAATCTCTAGGAAAATGTTCAAACCTTTATTCTTCTATAGATATTGGATGTTGCTATCCACACACCTCTTTTACTTTCCGCACACACCTCTTTTTACTTTCCGCACACACCTCTCAGTTTTTGACGTGGATTGAATGAATTGAAGATAATTAGATGACAAAAATTAAATTTTTAGAAGAAATATGAAGTAAAGTTTAAATTAACGGGACATTCGAACTCAAGTGTGGAAGGAGGAGTATACTGCTGGCCTGCTTGGCTAATGCCAGTTTTGTATTTGAACTTTTAAGTTTGAACAAAGAAGAAAATAGTATTTGCAAATCAGTTAATACATAGATCAAATATACACCTTATTAGCTCAGAATTATGTTTGATGCCTTAATAATGGCCTATAAACTATAAGGCAAGCAAATCAAAATTGTTTGGATTGAATATTAAATCTGTTAACAATTTTTAATTAGATTGGACTTCAAAAATAATTAAAAAAAAACGATTAACAGTTGTCAGTAAATTACTAAAAATTTATAAGAATCAAATCAAACCAAAAGCAATCTAATTATTTTGAGTATTAAAAGTTGCAATGTTGTTGTTTACGAGGTATCTTATGAAAGTTGGTGGATTTACAGAATTCTCCTTCAAGACAGACCCTCAAAGACCACAATTTAGGCCTTATTAATTTAGTTTTATGAAAAAAAATTAGTGAATAAAATTTATTATATTTGAATTAAAATAATGTTTTGTCCAAAAACAATTAGAATAATATATGATTATATTGTAATCCATATCCAATTATCCATTTATAATTTATTAGATCAGTGCTCAATCGGTAGGAGATGTGACGTCAATTGCCCTCATTTGTCTCCATATGATAATTTGGATGAAGTAGTGATAAAACAGGATGAAGTAAATTTGTAAGCGACATAGTTATTTGTGTCGTTTTCATACGCTATACCTTTACAATTTAAGGCCAGTTGTTTTTGTTATCCATTAAATATAGACGTCTTTGTTGAATGTCGGATTTTATCTATTGAATTTCTTTTTTGTCATTTCAATTGAAAGGAAAAAGGTTAAGTGGTCTTCGTCAATGGCTTGAGGAAGCACAAACATGATGAGAAGCAAAACCATTCAAGAAGACAAAGGATGACGTAGAGGGAAGCCTTTGAGTGCAAAACTCTATCGAAAATAACATAACATAATCAACTCTGTCACTCTGAAAACGAAAGTCATTGGCTTAGAACATTATTAGCCTTCACTAATTAATATTTTGCTTTGATTCCCCAAAGAGGAGAAATTCTTCGGTGCGTACAACAACGCTAAAAAATGGATGAAAGAGCTATATGCAGAGGGTCTCACCCGTTACTAGTGTGTTGTCTTATCCAACAGGTGATACGATAGACCTTAACCTCAAAAAGAAGCCTCTACTTCTCTCATTAAAGCAAACATGAAACCGTCAATCTGTCATCATGCATTTGTACAAACCATAATTCATGTCATAAAGTAGTTCATTTCATTAGTAAAATGGGTGAAAGTACAGTACAAACGTTTGAGCTCTAGTGAATTACCGATAGCTCTCGGTAACAAATTTTGCCGCATAAACTTGGCTCAAAATTGAGCTACAAAT